CTCTGTCGCCCAGGCTGGAGTGCAATGGCATGATCTCGGCTCACTGCAACCTCCGCCTCCCGGGTTCAAGCAATTCCCTACCTCAGCCTCCTGAGTAGCTGAGATTAGAGGCACATGCCACCGTGCCCGGCTAATTTTTGTATTTTTAGTAGATATGGGGTTCCATCATCTTGGCCAGGCTAATCTTGAACTCTTGACCTCATGATCCATCCGCCTCAGCCTCCCAAAGTGCTGGGATTACAAGTGTGAGCCACCGCACATGCCGACAGCAAATTATTTTAAAAGAAAAATTAAAAGAGACATTTGATAAATTATACATTCATGCTACCTCTAGCCATATTCTTTTTGCAAGAAAATATTCATTTCAGAGTTTTCATAAGTGAGACTAAAAATAAATACTTCAGATAAATATATAAAATATTAACTGTGTTATGTTCAAATTTGCTACAGAAAAAATTAACAAGTGAAAATCAAGACCTGTTAACTAACTTACTAAAATAAATCAGTTTCCAAAGGATATGGAAATTATTGATAGAATAATGACATATAATCTTGGAAGTTTCTACGCCTTTCTTATAAACTTGAGGTTTGTGGACTTTAAAGTAAGTTTAAATCAAAGTAAACTCAGTGAGTTCCTTGAAAAAAAATGGCATTTTAATAGGGCCCAATATGCAGTTGTCCTATGGCCAAATTTGTCTCTTTATCCCAATGCAAAAAATCTAGAGAAACATTTTGCTAGTTTGCTTTTACACCACATTGATCAAATTCTTCACCCTTAATTTTTAAAATCAAAACAAGCAACACGTTTTTTAAAAAAATTGGGGGAATTAATGGTATATGTTACATGCTTTCCATATATTTCAAAAGAGTAAAATTCATGTCTTTGTTGGTTTGCAGTTTTTAGTAAAGGACCAGAAGGAAGGGGAACGTGTGGATGTTGCGTCTTTGGGTTACGTGTTTAGGAAGGGAGCAGCCAAGGATGCACCTGCTTTTAGCACTGGCTTAGGCACTGGAACAGCACATGTCAGATGTCATCTCAGAAGAGGCAAGAAATACGTGAAATGCACACAACCAAGGAAACATAGACTTAATGCTGAAATGGTATGATTCCAAACAAAGACATAACTGAGTTTATGGTCAACATACCACCATGTGATACAATAAAATATTAGCATTCTTGTTTTTCCATCACACACTACGTGATTATTTTTTAACAACAGCAGCAAAGTATTTACTTTTTTTTCTAGGAGGAAATTAACATGGAAGCATGACTAAGTGTCATGTAATTTTACATTTGTAATATGGTGGAAAGATATAGCAAAATTTATCCTAACTTCAGGGAATAAAATGCAAAGTATTTTTAAATAGAGTATTTAAATATTGGAGGACTTTGATTTTAAAATCAGCTTTCAAAGCAAAGATTTCGTGTGGTTTACTATTTACTATCAACTATGCTGTGGCTTCTAATAAATGATTATGAGCCTACAGGGGAAGAATAAGTTATGTTCTTTAGAATAATCATTCTAAAATAAACAATTAGAAGTTCTAGAAATTATTTCAGGGTCAAATGAATTAGTTTATCCTTGCCTTTGACCAGTACAGATGACTATGGGACATAATTTCTTCCAAGTGATTAGCTGATGGCAACTGACCCTGGCAAGGTTCAGTTGCTACTGTAGGTGTATGGCTCCCCAAAGCAAGACCTGACAAGAAGGCAGGGCGCCAAAAAGTGAGAAAGAGAGCACTGTTTGGTCACTATCAACCATCTTATCATGGAGAAACTAAGGAACGGAGATTTAAAAAATTTTAATTAGTGCATATGATGTGGAATTCACACTCTGTTCCTATGCTCTCCGTTGATTCAGACATCACTATTCCATTTCCAATATCTACTCATCCATCATACCACCAAAACACTATGTCCTAACAACGACAACAAAAACACGATCAGATTTAAAGTAAAAATTCTGACCTCTAGATAGGCTGAAAAGAACTGCTATAAAACAAATAAAGGAAGATAACAGATAGACTTTATTTCCACCTTTCTCCCTCCTCTTCATGTAAATAATTTGTTAGAGTTTTAAAATACGTATTTCCCCTTCCTCAACAAAGTCTGGTCGATAAATCCAAGTGAGGAAACTAAAATCTGAAAAGACAAGGTTCATGCAGCCAACTGGAAAAGTCTCTACATTAAGTTGACAACTGACCCACTGTGGCTATTTCCAAGGTAGCATTCCATCGGCCTGGTATTGGCAATGTTGTGACAATAGTCTTTACTCTTTAACATTCATACTTTACCACATGAATGTTAAGCAGTCCCAGGACAAATAAAATGAGGGTGGGGGCTTCTCTTTTCCTTAGAAGGATATTTTTCAATTATATATTTTGTTACATCTTGAGAGATAAAAGCTGTATCTGCAAGGGATTAAAAGATGTTTTATATTCATGGTTTCATTTCTGCTGAAATAAATGCGTAATTTATACCACACATAATTCATAGCAATTTAGGCCTATTACAGAGTTCTAGCTTCTTTTTTATGATAGTTACTAATTAAAGCAGAGTGTTACTGCCACACTGAGCCTAAGTCTTTGACATACAGGCTTAATGAATAAAATGTCCTGACACAAAAATGAAAGCAATAATGCAGACAAGACTGCAAGCTGTTATGTTTCAAGTGTGTGGTAAAGATTAAGGGCTTTCACTGAAGTGATGAACTGTGCAGAGAAGGACCTTGTAATTTCTTTCTTTAAAGGAAGAAGTAAGTGAACTTTTAGAGAATCTGAAATAGTACTAATTTCTGTAACTCCTGGGCCCCTCATTCCCAGTTATCCTTCTCTCCCCTCCAAGAATTTAAACTCCTAAGAGTCATTTTTGAAGAATAAATGATGGGGCATTTTAATATAATCTTGAATATAGGTTTAGATTGAAAATGGGAATTGGGACCATAATTAATTATGTTGCCAAGTTTTTTAAACTTTAAGAAGACAGGTGGAGGCAAATGACATTTTATAAGAGTTCAACCTTCTAAAGGTTCACAGATTAAAACTTCGGTAAAACGACAGTATCTTTTTGACATCTGATTAATCCCATATGCAGAATGACTGAAGAATTAATATCGTTTTGATGTTTTCATTTTCTGAAACCACTGTAATAAGAGACCGACATAAACTCAAACCAAGTATAAACACAATCTTAGCGAGGGTTGTGGCCTTATTATCACTCTCAGCAATCAATAATGAATAATCATACCGATCGCCCTCACTACACTTGGAATACACATTTGGAATACAAATATTCCCTCTCGGATCCATCTATCACTTCTTTCAAGATAATAAAATAATTCAATCCCATCAAATCCTCAGCAGCCTCTCCCTCGAGAGGGATGTTTTATCTGTACTTCTGTAAGCCCAGGGAGGATTTTACTTGTTTGAAGGGGGCGGAGAATGGAGCGGGCTCCTATTTATTTCCATTGATGACTCCCCTGGTTCTCAAAGGCGTTCTGGGACCGGGTGGGAGGAGGAGAGGAGGAGGTGCGGAGATTCCCTCCGTCAGAAAAGAAAAAGGGTTCAGGAAGCGAGGCAGGAGGAGGAGGGGTGAAGGGGGGAATGAGAGGGTAGTATGTTTGGAGAGAGCAGCAACTAAATGAAAAAATAAATTCTTCTTCATCGACAGATGAAAAGCAAATTTATCAGCCCAACAAAGTTGCTTAAAAGATCTGTGTAAAAAAAAAAAATTTTTTTTAAGGAGTAAAAAGCATAACAACAACAAAACCCCGAACACATATCAGGTTCATTTCCCGCTCAAGGTCTTCGATTTAGGAAGCCATCCGTACCCAACAGCAAGAAATGGACAGCGCCCCGAAGGGGGCCGGTAGGGGAACCCCGACTTCGCTGGAGGGACAGCTCAGCGCCAGCGCAAGGGTGCCCGCGGCAAACTCCGAGGAGTTGGTGCGGGGCAGGTCCGGGGAACTGCGGGAGCTCTCACGCCTGGGCCTGGGATAGGGTGCGGGAAGGAAGGGAAACCGAGAGCGCACAATGCAACGAAACCACATCCAAAATTCAGCAGTTTGCAAAGTGCCACCAAGAAAACAGCTGGGACCTGGAATCACTCGTTCGGACTCCTGGGTTGTAGGGGCCGCGGCTATTCGGCTCAGGAAAAAAGGTAATGCGGCTGAGAGCGAACCCCAACTCACGCGCAGACTGGAGGAAGGCACGAAGCCGAGTCTCCGGGCTGGAGCGGGAGGGGGCGTCCCCTCGGTGGCCGCTCTGCTCTCTGCAAGAAAGTGTGAGCCGGTCCCAGGCCACCTCGCTCAACCAAGGAAGTTTAACGATGCTCGCCTACCACGCAGAGGACAAATGAGGAGCCAGAGCTGTTGAGGGACGGCCGAGTGAGGCAGCCGAGCTCCCGGCCCCGGCTGCCCAGCTCCCAGACGCCCTACGGTAACCGGCGCGCTGCCTGGACCTCTAGCTTTTCGCCCCCCACACACAAGCCCTCCGCAAAACCCACTCCGGCTGACTTTCCCTAGCGGAGGGCGGAGGGCATGAACCTGGAGAGGGAGGCAACAGCCCTCTTGGCAGGCGGGCAAAGTAAGTGTCCAGGCCAAGTCCGGGATAAAGGCTCCACGGCTCCCGGGACCCCACAATACCCCGAGCTCCCCTCCCAGGTCTTCCCCGCCCGTGCGCTATCTGTCCACCTCCTCTCGTCTCTCCGGGCCGCCTAGCTTGGAAAGCAGCTTAAAAAAAAAAAAAAAAGAAAGAAAGAAAGAAAAAGAAAAAACAAAAACAACAAACGAGGGAAACCTGCTCCTGCCCCTCATGTCCTCAGCTCCTACGGATAGGGCGCCCTCGAGAAGCTTGTTGGACCCTTACGATTTGGGGGCGCACGCCTCAAGCCCCCATCTCAGATGACCCTTCGGGTGTGACCCATCCTTGTGCTAGGTTTCGGGGTGGCGGGCTAAGGCGTCGGGGCTCTGGGACTTTGCTTTCCTCTCCCCACTTACCTTAAAAAGATCTGTTTGTTTTTCGTAGGGAAAAGAGGAAAAATCCCTCCCAGAGGTGTGGTGTGCGAAATAGTCCACGTCCCCAGACCCTGCCAAGATGCTTAGCACCAGTATTCAGGAACAAGGAGCCTGGAGGGCGGGGACGGAGGCAGATAAAAGAGAAAAATTCAATCCGATGAAGTGTCCCAACTTTGCGGTCGGCACAGCAAACTTTAAAGGCGGGCGAGGGCGGGCTGCGCGCGGCCGCCGAAGTTGCTGCGAAGTGGAGCGGGGAGCGGCGCGCGGCTGGGGAATCCCAGGGCAGAGCCGGGAAGCGGCGGGAGGTCCTTTTAAACGGCGGGGAGCGTGCGGGGGCCGGGCGGCTGGTGGATGCCGCAGCTACCAGCGGGGCTGGCGCTGGCGCTGGCTTCGCGGGCGGCCAGGAGCCGCACAGGCGCCTGGCTGGAGCGCCGCGCGGGGTGCGGAGAGAGCCGGGCGCACGGGGCGGCAGCGGCGCTGGCGGGCGCTCTGCTCAGTTAGCTCTGCTCCCTCGCGGCTCGAAGCGGGGTGTGTTTGTTCTCTCCCGAGTGTCACTGCTGAAGCCCTGAGTCTCTTCCCCTCCCAGCACTTACCCCTCCCGCCTCACCGCTGCCCGCTCGCCCCCTCCCTCCTCTGCCCGCCGCTTCCCCCTCCGTCCCTCCTCTCCCTCCCGCTGCGCGCCAGCGCGCGCTCACGCGCGCACACACACACACACACACACACGCACTCATACACTTACACACACACACACTCTCTCCCTCCTTTTCTCCTTGTCGTCCTCCCCCCCTCTTTCTCTCACACACACCACCCTGCTCAGCGACCCAGCGCTCCCCAAACGGGACCCTCGCAGGCGGCAACGCGAGGGACACCCTGCTGTCCTAACCTCTCCGCCACTCGGGGAGAATGAGGGAGGCCCACCGCACCCCCCGGGCGAAGCTGCAAAACCCAGGAGACGCGCACGCGGGACCATCGCACTGTCAAGGAGACTGGGGTGCACAATAGAGGAAAACTCTGGGGTTGATTTGGAGGCAGGGAGGGGGACCTGTTAAATCCAGAAGGTTGGTGGTTGGAGGCGGAAAGCAGAGTGTGCAAACTGTGCATTTACGTCCCACTTTTCACCCGAACGCCTGCGTACCACAGCCTTCACTCGGGGAGCGCTTCCCCCTTGGCGCAGACCGAGCCTCCTCCGGTTTGAAACTCAGCAGCTGTTTTAACAATTGAAAAGCGGCCCTACAGTACCAGTGAAACCGAGCAGTGTGTGTGAAGCCATTAAGGCTGACTAGGTAATTATGATAAGAAGTTACCTAATTAGCAACCTGGCCTGGGCTTAGGAAAACGAAGGAAAAAAAAAGTGCTGTATGATTTAGTAATCTCATTTTTGCAACTAAGAACCTGGTTTCCAGCAAACCTGGTTTTACATTATATAAATTGTAATAATATATATTATTTATTAAGATATAGTGTCAGTATTGAAAACACTAGATCTATTATTGCCACAATGAAATTAAGGTAGATAATATGGAAATCAGCCTTACCCCGGTCATATTAAGAACTGTGATCTTTTTTGTTAAATAGCTGGTCACAGAGGGTGGACCAATGCAGCTCCTAAAGTTTTGTGGCTCCTAGATGAAAATACTGCAGGAAATGGATTTATGAAACCGTTTATATGTCACAAAGTAGTTTTGTAAAATTTTTAAACCCTAAAAAGGACATTTGAGATCACTGTGCAAGCATATTTTTTTGCAGATGAAACAATGAGGTGGGAAAAGTCCTGTACTTAGGAGATGTGATCTAGAGCAGATCGCTGGGTCATTCATTAACAAAAACTTATGAAGTCCCTGCTATGTACAGGTTTGTCTATCTTAGATGCTGAGATTTAGAGGTGATGGTGCTGCCTTTAAGGAACTCACGGCCTGGTGGGGAGACAGAGGCATAAATGAAAATGTGATTAGCACTATAGTAAGTGCAGGTACTTGGTCCTGCCAGAGCGTGGAAAAAGAAAAAAGCTAATTCCCCTTTAGAAGCTTCTCTTGGTGGAGATTTCAGTGTAGGGTTCTGAAGGACAAAGAAGAAATACAGGGCCAACAAGGATGTGGTGGGAGGGGGAAAGGCATTCCACAAACAGAGGCAAGTGAAGAGGTTAAGTGTCAAAGTACATGGTGTGTCCTGGAAACTGGGAAACTAGGTGTGGCTGGACTACAGGTGAAGTAATCAAAGCAAAGCCACACAAGGCTCTTTGGGTGTAAAGAGCCAGAACTTGCCTGGAGGTGGTGAATAGTTGGGAAACTATTAAAGGTTTTAAGGTAAGACAGATTTTAAGGTTTTTAAGTATTATCAGATAAGGTGTTTTAGAAGGTTTCCTCTGGTTTTACTGTGCAAGACAAATAGAAGAGAGATCACAGTGAGGGGGTTATTTCCAGAGGAAAAATTAGGTCTGAACTAAGGCCCCAGAAATGCCATTTGGGAGGCTGGGACAGCTCTAGAAATATTTAAGAGGTAGAATCGACAGGGCTTAGTGATTGATTAGACATAGAGGGTAATGGAGAGAACAGAGTCTAGACTGACTCCCAGTTTTCTGGCCGGGGCATCAAAGCAGGGATGGTGACACTAACCAAGAGAAACACATGGAGAGGAACAGTTTTAGGAAGAATGTAATGAGTTCTGTATTAAAGTTGTTGAGTTGGGGGTGCCTCTGTGACATCTGAGCGTTCTTCCCTGTAGGCAGCCAAAAGGGGAGTTCCTAGGAGAGTAGATAGGAGCTAGAAGGATACATTCTGGTGTTTGGCAAGCATGAGGGAGGAGTAAGGCAGCCAGGAAGAGAAGACTTAGGATGGGACATGGAAGAACATTAATGCCTTAGGCAAGGATAAGGAAGAGGACTCTGCAAAAAAAAGGGATGAAGACCAGGGAGGAAGGATAAGAGAGCAGGACTAAGAAGAGCAACCCCAAGGCACGTAATCATCAGATTCACCAGGGTTGAAATGAAGGAAAAAATGCTAAGGGCAGCCAGAGAGAAAGGTTGGGTTACCCACAAAGGGAAGCCCATCAGATTCACAGCGGATCTCTCTCAGCAGAAACCCTACAAGCCAGAAGAGAGTGGGGGCCAATATTCAACATCCTTAAAGCAAAAAAAAAAAAAAAAAAAGAGAGAGAGAGGAGGAGTAATGAAACCAAGGGAGGACAGGGCTAGTAACCAGGGTAGAATGAGGCAGACAGATCAACACAACCAGACTGAAAAGCTGCTGCTCCTCTTTACAAAACATCTTGGTAATCTTGACCTATGCCATTGCAGTTTCTACTGTATGTGTGTAAAGATCAATTCCCTCTTTGGTACAGTGGGGCGACACAATCTACCCCCATGCATTTCACAGGGTTGATTGGGAATTCAAATGAACCAGTGACTGGGGTATTGATTTCAAATTGCCATTAGGAAGAAACTGAGTGCTAATCATGTTAGAGAGACATCATTAATTCAGACAATTCATGACAGACCTGAGTATATAGACAGTTCTGTATGGACTCTGTGAAAGAAATTTTGATGAATTTTCATGAAAATTTATCAAAATATCTGTGTTTTTAACATCAGGATTTGAATACATCAATATACTCTGTCTTCTCAAAAAATGTAGCACCAATAAAACCAATGGCATTGTACATATTTATATTCACATATATATGTAAGTATCTTCAGTGTTTTCAGAGACTTGGGCAATGTGCCATATTAGATAGAGCATGCATTATTTAGCCAAACAGGCTTATATTTAATTCTAGACTCAAAATTTATTTGCTGTAGGACAAAACCTCTTTGAGCATCAGTGGCTTTTTTCAAATTAAAAAAATGGAATAAATTATAGTTGACTTACAGATGTTTGGTGAGGATTGGGTAGTATAACATATTCAAGTGTTTGCAAGATATTTACTTATTTATATCTGCATTTACTTTTAAACCAGGAAATTCATAAATATGCAATTGGAGAAAAAAGCTCAAAACTACTATAAAACCAAGAGTGAGTTTAAGTCTGTTTAGGAGAACTCCTACCTCAAACCTACGTTTTAAGGTAGCAGTACTCAAAGTGTGGTTCATAGACCCATGGGAGTTTCTGAGATCCTTTCAGGGGAGGTCTGCAAGGACAAAGCTGTATTCATATTGATTCTAAGACATAATTTGCCTTCTTGGACTGTGTTGACATTTGCACTAGTACAAAAGCAATGATGGGTAAAACTGCTAGCACCTTAGCCTGTTCAAAGCAGTGACACCCAACTATCCTAGTAGTTGTTGTATTTTTTACTGCCCCAAATGTCAGTTTCACTTAAGAATGTCTTTCATGAAGCAGTGAAAATTACTCAATTTTGTTAAATTTCATCTCTTGACTGTGTCTTTTTAATATTCTGTATGGCAAACTGGGAGGCACAAATAAAGCTCTTCTGCATCATACCAAAGAACAGTTGTTTGTCCTGAATGAAGACATTTATGTAATTGATTTGTGAGCTAAGCTGCCTGCTTTTAAATGTGACATATTTTTACCTGAAAGAACAACTGACAGATAAACTATTCAGACTTGGATACCTGGCAAAATACATTTTTTTAAACAAATGAATGAAGTCAGCCTGTCATATCAAGGCAAACAAACAGAAATTTTTATTTCCAATGAAAAATTTGAGCTTTTGAGTAAAAAATTAGCATTTAGAAAACTTGTATCTGTCATCATGAACTTGATAGTTTCCCAGTACTTAAAGTCTTTCCCATTAGATCGTGATCATTCAAATGAATGTGGTTTTAGGTTTTAGATATCATACAATGAAATGTATCAACATTTAGAAGATCTGCATAACTCAGTGAACAAATATTTTCCAAATGACTAATAATGCATGATGATCTAAAATCATGGATAAGTAAAGGGTCCACTCGAAGTGCAAAATAGACCAATGGGTTTTAATGTAACACAGTATGAAAAGTTAACTGATATGGTTTCATATTCCATACTGCAATTATAAGGTTTAAGAAATACCATTTGTTGAGTTATTGTGTAGCATTAAGGAATAATATCCAGAATTGCTTGAAAAGATTATTAAAATGTTTCTTCATTTTCCAACTACATATCTGTGCAAAATTGGATTTTCCTTATGTATTTCAAAAAAAACAACAAATCGCAACACATTGAAAACAGACATGATATGACAATTTAACTGTCTTTTATTAAGCCAGACATTAAAGAGATTAACAAAAATGTAAAACATTTCTTTGGAAAATGATGTTATTTTAATATGTAGTAGGCATACTATAGTTATTTAGATGAATAAATATTTTAAAGATTTCTGTTGTAATTCATATGTTGAATATTGAAAGAAATAACCTATATAACAAAAGCTCCTTGGGATCCTCAATAATTTTCAGACTGTCAAATGGTCCTAAGAATGACTGTCAGTCACATGGAATAGGCTCAGTCATGAAAGAAGGTTGAAAGATCATCAGAAGCTTATAATAATATTCTGTCTATAGATTGGCCATCACCTCAGTTGTATTATACAATACAGTTCTCATTTTACTCAA